TAGTGCTGGGGGAGAATTACAGAATTTAGCTTTTCAGCATGCTTGCAAGAATGTTTAATTTGCATCATGCAAATACTGTGACATATTGGGTAATTACACACGTAGATGACCATAATTACCCCTCGGCACAGTCCTGCTGCTTGACTTGTGCAGGAGTGCCAGTGTTTTCAGTGTAGATCTGCCTTCTGGGGTTCAAATGCCATGAAAATCTGATATTTAGTAAAGTATGTGTTTCTGGCAAGAGCCAGTCAGAGGCAGCAATCACATCTGGGTTAAATATTGGAGTTCCTTAATGGCTCAAATACAAACCAGACTGGAAATGTGCAGAACCTGGTAACCCAGAGTGTGTTCCTGTGAGGCCAGGATGTAGGACTGGTCTGTAAATGGGAATGGCTTGAGTGCTTTTTTATGTGTGGCTGTGGAGTACGGTTTTGGGGCTGAGGGTTTTGTCATCTCACTGCTTGGCCATGTCCCTTCCTGGGGGACAGTTTGGGGAGGGATTGGCTGTTGGACACATCCATCTCTGGATCCACCCACGAGGAATGGGCAGCAGAGAGAGTGAGGAGGGAATTCTGCTGCCCCAAAACACATCACTCAGGGAGTGTCAGGCTGTAGAGGGGTCATGATGTATGTACAGGTCTATCTGTGAATAACAGAACAACCAGATTTGTTTTACAGGAAAGCTCCTTTTTCCCCTCCCAAGTCTCGGTCACATTGAGTTTGTGACCCCAGCATGAATCCCTGGAGGCTGGAGGGAGGGGGGGAGCTCCCTGTGCCTTCCAGGGGCCACGTGTGATGCTGGGCTCTCACTTCCCTCCTGTCCTCCCCAGGTGCAGACCCGCAGCTCCGATGAGCCCATGACCACCTTCGTCGTGTGCAACGAGTGTGGGAATCGCTGGAAGGTAGCGCACCAAGGCTATGAATGGCACTGAGGGGTGTTAGGGGGGCTGCACCCACCGTGCTGCAGGCACTCAGCTGCTGCTCAGAGGTGTTTGCCAAACTCTCACTGGCTCTAGCGAGTGATCTTCCCTCCCAGCAGAGGGGCAAGAGCTCCTGGGCTCATCCCATCTCTGCAGACCAGCTGGGGGCAAGTCTCACTTCCACATTCCCTGCTCCCTCATCACACCCCTTCTTCCACGATCAGCTTCACAGTGCTTTCCATGCTCCCTCTGAGAGATGGTGGTGATGACACTCGGGATTTCAAAACTGCTCTTCCACGCTGCGCACAGAGCTCGGGGATGAGCAGGAATCTCCTGCTCGGTGGCGAGCAGAAATGACGCCACTACAAAGTGCCAAAGAGCCACAGCCGAGAGATTCAAACAGGAGCACCCTTTGGCCCCTGCTTCTGAGAACCCCCCGAGCCCTTGCCAGCCTCTGAAACAAGCCCCTCACCTGGATCCTTACCTTCCTCTAGGCAGCACGACCCGCAGCTCCCCTCGGCAGCGAGGTTTCTAACCGGGGTTTCAACTCCCTTCTCTTGCAGTTCTGCTGACATGTGCCACGGCCCGAGAGCGGCAGCCGAGCGCGGCCCCGCGCGCAGCCTCCACGCGCCGGCTCCCACGGCAATTGTGTTTTGTGTCCCAGTGAGTTTGCATTGTCACGCGCTGAGAGAGCAGCAGCGGGGAGGCCTGGGGGCCTCGCGGAGAGCCACAGCCCTGGCTGGGCTGACAGGTTGGCAGGAGAGCTCACTAAACACGCCCAGTCGTTATTTTTCTCATCCAAGCGAGTACGGTCACTTCCTCTTCAAAACTAATATTAAACATTTTTGTCAGTTTCTGACTTTTTATTTCAACTGTGTGCGCAGCACTTTTGCTTTTCGGGGTGTGGAACCGTGTGGGAGCTTGACATGATGGATGAGGACTGATTGGAGCACCAGAAAGTGAGATGTGACTTGTAGGTACATCCTCAGCACGTGAAGGTTTGTTCCTGTCAGCTCATCGAATCTAAACCCCTGGGCCAAGCCCTGGGGTGGCTGGGTGGGCAGTACTGTTGACAGAACACAGCTTCTGGGGCACAGATCAGATGCTGCTTTCCACCTTGGCAGCATTCTCTTGATTTTGCAGTGATTCCTTGGCATCTCGAGCCTTTAAAGGCCAACAGCATCAGCTGCAGCAAAGGTGAGAATGTGCTGCCTGAAGAGACTGAAAGAGGGTGACAACAGCCCCAAAAAACCCCACCCCAAACTGTTGATTTGTGGAAGCAGGACAGGGAGGAAGCTTTTCCTGGGATTCCATCTGTCTGCAGAAGGAGACCCTTGTAGCCAAGAGCTCCCTCAGCTCAGACTGGGAGCAGGGAAGGCCAGGGCAGTTACAGGGAAGGTCCAGCAGCCTTTTGCTGTTCCTGCTGCTTCCCAGAAGGCTGCTCCCCAAGGCTGCCTGCTCCCCACAGCCATCATGCTGGCATCCTGGGAACAGTTAATCTTGATGGAGGGAGAAGCCATCAGTAAAGAAGGTGGAGGGGATTCAGGGGCCAGTGGGAGGGTTCAAATGGAGTCCCAGGCACTTTCCTGCTTGTTTGTGCTCTGCTCTTTGCTTGATGACAGAAAAGCATCCTAGATTTTCAGAGGGGCTTGCTGAAGAGGCTCAGGAGGAGTGAAAATACTGCAAATACAGGAGATTTTCCAGAGGCTTGGATCTGGAGGAGGTGGGGATTAGCTGTTAGCACTTGGCTGTAGAAACAGAAGAGGTTTGAAGTGAACTCAGAACTGGTACTTGGAAGGGGTGAGATAAGGAAAGGATCCAGTAGCAAAGCCAGCCCCAGGTGCCGCATCTGCAGATGTGACCCTGTGAAGGGGACCTACTGTGAAGGGAATCAGGCTCCTTCTGGGAGGTAATTAGAACCTGGTGGGGAAATTCCATGTGAGCTCACAAGAGCTTTCACAGAGACTTAAAATCCTTCTTCCCTGCTTTTCATAGCCTTCATAGCCTGGGGTGAGGCAGCAATCTGGGGGACCCCAGCAAGGCACTTGGGAGCAGTGCTGGGCACCGCAGCTCTTGAGCTGGCCAGCAGGGCAGGAGCATTTGCAGTCACATCTCATGGCACTGCTTCCCTCTCTCAGAATGAAAAACAAGTATTTCCACTGGTTTCCCAGCACGCCAGACAGCAGACATTGAGCAGAGACCTCGGAGATGTTTGGAGAGGAGTAAGTGGCCACATGAAAGCAGCGGAAAACGTGCTCACAGCCCCTTTGAGGGCTGCGCTGCTCCGGAGGCAGGGATCCCACCAGCATCCTTCGCTCAGGGCTTTCACTTTACAGGGTGCAGCCAAGTCTCCCAAGAAGGAAAAAGATTCAAAGACGCTGACAACTCCTTTAAGCCTCACGAGTCTTGTGGTGAATGGGATTATTCGAGCCAGGCTTGGGAGGGAGCAGCGTCCTCGCAGTGATGCCGAAAAAAAGCTTCAGGATCCTAAACCCACACTGGCCACGGCACTGGCTCGTGTGCTGGGAGCAGGAGGCAGCTCTTTACCAGTGGCTGTTGCCTTTCTTCTTGTGTTCCTGTGAGGAGCTGGGTTGAATTTGGGTACAGCTGGTTGACAATCCTGAATTAGGCATGGAGAGTCCCAAGCAGGAGTGAGGGAAAAGTACTGTGTCATTTTACAGTGTCATTTTCTGGGATAACACAGAGAGCCAGGGAGGGCAAGGCCACTGGATAAAGAGGTGTTTCGGAAGTAAAGATCTGCTTATAAGGTGACTAAAAGTGCTGGGATTGGGAGCAGGAGAAAAACTAGGTTATCTGGTGGCAGCGGGGTCTTCCCTGGGCCAAGACCTCCATAGTGTGGAAGGACTGACCCCCCTGCCATGCTCTTGAACAGCTTCAGGGATGTTCAACCTTCAACCCTAAAGCTGGGGCCCCATTTTGAGACTATTTTCCTTATTCACAAAATAAACCAGGCACTCATAACTAAAGCCTTCCCTGTGCAGGGTGGGGATGCTGTAGGGGTGCAGACTGGGCACTGGTGGGGGAAAACTTGCCAATAATAACAACAATACCGACATTCCTAGCAAACCATTGCTGGTCTCTCTCAAAAATACATTTTCTTGAACTGTATTTCCAGCTTGGCAGAGAAAACTAAATTTACTGACATGAATTTCCACACAGTCATGCCATGAGGAAGGAAGGAAACCAAAAAAAAAGAAACCCCAACAAAACAACCACCCCACAAGAAAAAAAAAAAAAGCTAAAAGAATTTGTTTGTTTAAAAAATATCTTCAGTAAAAAGAACCAGTACTCTTTTTTCTGTGGAAGGGCCAAAGAGAGAAGGAGGGGAATGGGTGGATAAATAGGAAACTGCTGTGGTGGGTCAGGAAAAGCAAAAGACCAGCATCAAAACCCTTGCATTGGCTTCATTTCAGCGTGGAAGGCAGGGACGGACGTGTTTGAATCCTGTGTGCTGGGGCTCCAGTAAACCATTCCTTGTGCTGTACAAAAACACATGGATATTCTGTATCTTCCCTGTGCCATTTCCCATCCTGGGTGGAGCCCAGGTCACTGCTTGGTGCCAAGCTGCTTCCAAGGGACCAGGGCAGATCCCTGGCCTTCTCCCCCCAGGTGGGGCAGATGTGGGCCAGCCACTCAGGGCTCCTGGTGCCTGTGGGTTCTGCAGGAGAGCAAACCACACCTGCACAGGTGTTTTCCCTATTTCTCAGGTCCCTGAACCAAGGATGCAGCATGCTCTGGATTTAGGGTGATGGCATGTGATGTTCTGGGGCTGGAGCAGTGCTGATGTATGACGGGGACTGGTGGGGGAGGCAGCTGTAGGGTACCCCCTGCCCACCTGCTGAGCATATCCCCACGGTCTTTTCTGGCCCCTCAGAACCCTGCCCTCTGCTCCATCCATATCTGACAGGAACACAGGCTGCAGTGCTGCCCCCCACCCCTTGGGCCACCTAAAACAGACCGAGTGATGTAAACCTGACAAGTTTTTATATGTACAGACACACTTGTCAAACCCCCCTCCCGCCCCTCGAGTCCCCCAGTAAAAGCCAACCCAAAGAGCATTTAAAATTAAAAGTAAAAAAAAAACAAAACACACAAAACAATCGACCTCCCCCCCCACCTCAAAAAAAAAAAAAAACCCAACTCAGTCCCCAGCTGGGTCTCAGGTGGGAAATGGGGATGTGCCGTGTCCCGAGGTGTGGTGGAGATGGGATAAAGTGACCTCTTCAAAACAGGGTGCGGGGGAAACTGAGTCCCAGGCGCTCTCCCATGAGCTCCCCCAGCTTGCTCCGGCCAGCGGTGGGGACGGGGCAGGGGTTCAGTAGTACGAGCTGGCCCGGGCTGTGCCTCGGGGACAGTCCTGGAGCATGGCCCAGACACCGGGGAGACAGTTCATAGGTAAAAAGCTAAAAACTTCGTGGGGGCCGGCAGGGAGGGTGGCGGAGGTGAGAAGGCACCGAGGCCCCCCAGCCACTGTGTCCCCACCAGTGTCCCCGCGGCCGGTGGGCGCCCTTAGGACTCCGAGGAGGAGTGGGAGACGCTCTGGAGCAGCGATTTGTATATGGCAGAGTTCAGGAAGCGGGGGTAGGAGTCTCTGTGCATCAGCGTGTAGATCTGGAGCTGTGCGTCGTCGAAGGTGTGCGAGGACGGCTCCTGCATCTTCCGGTTGATGACTTCCCGCACCCGCGAGTCCAGGCTCACCTGGGCGGCAGGGAGAGAAATTGGGGGCTGGGGGACACCCAAGGACGAGCCCCCAGACCCAGCACCCACCCCTGCACCAGCTCTCGTGGGAAATTGAGTATCAGTACAGCACTGTGTGCCAGACGTGGGAAGACCACGGTGAGCTCCATCCTGGGTGATACTGGCCCCAGAACTGGGGTGGTTTACGGAAGGTTGCAGGGAGGACCAGGGAGCTCTCTGGGTCCCCTGCCTTGTCCCCCAGCTGGGCACAGGGAGGCGGGTGGGGGTGCTCCCGCCCTGGGTGCTCCCACTTCGGCGATGCCGCAGGCCGGGATGCAGCAGCATCTCCTCGGCCCGATGGTGCCCTCGTGAGGTCTCGGCCCTGCAGCACAACCTGGCCTGTGATCCCACGGCCGGCTGCGTCCTGAGGATTTTGCGGGGCCAAGGCTCCTCTCCCTACTGCCGTTACCCTGCCAAACTCATCCCCAAACTGTCACAGGGCTGTGGCGGCAGCTGGGACAGAGCCCTCTCCCTAAGAATCCTCCCCAGCCTCATTTTAGTCCGAGCCACCCCCTCAGGGGCTCTGCCTCGTACCTCCTTGGGAGAGAGGATGGAGATGTAATCCTCGTAGATCATCCTGGCCTTCTCGTCAATGGTGTGCTTGTTGCACTCGGTTTTGAGCTCCTCACACGCCAGCCAGAAGAGCATGTTCTCCTCGCTGTACTCAGTCCGCAAAAACTCCCGGAAGACGTTGCGCCCCGCCGGGCTCTTCATCAGCTTGTCGAAAGACTGTGCCCAGCCCTGCACCTCCTCCGGCGTGGGTTTGGCACTGACAGATCCAGGGGAAGGCAAGGACACAGCGTTACAGCTGGCCAGGGAGGGCAGAAGGGACGGTGCCATGCTGCTCCCCCCTCCACGGCACTGCCCCTGCACTCACCACGCTTCACAGTTAGGGATGGTCTCCAGTTTGGTCTCCCGGGATGCCCTCCATGCTCGCTCCCGGTCCTCGTTCCTAACGGGGAGACAGAAAGGTAGTCAGGGGCATTGGGGGCACTCACAGACCCCCACCTTGACCCCTGAATCTCCTCTGTGGGCACCAGCATCCCCCACCCATCCCCTCCCCTCACCCACTGCCCCGGTGCCACCCTGGCTCCCTCGTGCAGTTTTGCTGTCACCATGAGAGGGTGTCCCTGCGCTCCGGCAATGCCATGGCCCCGCTCCCGCTCCTCCGCCTGGGCCCCGTGCCAGGGCTGCGTGCCAGGGATGTGTGCCAGGACTGAGCCGAGCCGGAGTGGACGCAGCAGCCGGCAGAGGTCAGTGCCGGATCAGCCCACGGCAAAGCCGCTGTGAACTGTCACACCAATAAATAAACAAGGGTCCATTGGTGACACCCCAGCACCGGTTCAGCCCGAGGGCAGATCGTGGGATGGAGGTGGTGGGGCTGGGAGATGCTGGTGTCCCTTGTCCCCGCTGCCCCTAGCCCCCAGGGGGCCAGTGGCACAAGCGGAGAGCGGCCATCAACCAACTTCCCTCAGGCCCTTGAATTTTGGCGCCCGGCACTGACCACAGCCCTTCCTGCTTGCGACACCGTCCCTCGCTGCTCGCACAGGACTGACTGTGCAAACCTCTGCCCCAGCGTGGGCGGCTGGGGTGGGCAAAGCTGCAGGCATGTCCCTGCCTGTGCCACCCCCAGGGCTCGCTGCCTGCTGTGCCTGAGCCCCAGCGTGGCTGCCACCCGGCACTGCTTGCTCTGGGAAGGGGATACAGGATGCAACCTCCCTGGGATTCTGTCCCATCTCTGCTCACAGGGAAGGGACATTGCCCTTGGCCAAATGCCACTGAGCCCAGGGCAGTGTCCAGGAAGGAGATGCACAGGGTTCAGCTCCAGGGTTTGTTCCTCACAGCTCTCAATGGCCATAAAGCCCAAAGCTGCTGCAAAGCCCGCAACCATCAGCAATCTCTAAGCAAGCAGATGCTGAAGATGAAGAGCAGATGGGCTATCCAGAGAATAAGGAACTGTGGATCCTCAGTGAGGACAGGAGATACAGCTGGAGGCAAGCAGCTGGTTAAATCCTTGGCTTTGGGTAGTGCTGGAAGGGCAGGGCTGGATGCTGCACCTTCTGCTCCAAGGCAGAGCTTCCCAGAGGGCTCACATGGACTAGAGACATCCCTTCCTGGAGACCACCAGTGCAGCACCATGGGGTCCCACTGCTGCTTTCTGCTCTATGTATTCTAAAAGATTTGGCTGATGGATAGGAGTCATGGTGCACTCAGGCTCAGCTCAGGCTCACTGGGGCTCTGTGCTGGGGAGAGCCCCATGCCACAGTTCCACTGATGCCCATCTGCTTCAGGGCACCTGGAGTTTACACCTGCCTAACCACATGCCTGTTCTGCTCTCAGCTCCCAACCCAATGAGCACACAAGTAGTCTGGAGGCTCAGTGAGTGGGGCTGGCTCCATCCCAGCTGCCCTCCTGCACCCACTGCCCATGGCATGGGTGCTACACCTGGGCTGCAGAGAATCCAGCAGTGGGGGCTGCTGTGGGACCCCATCTCCCTCAGACCTGGCTGCCTGCTTGGGCAGGAGCCACGTCCAAGCACTTGGTGCTGCACAAAGCACAGAGGAGCAGCAACACTCGTGCAATCCCTGCATCCCTGGAAATGTTCAAGGCCAGGTTGGACAGGGCTTGGAGCAACCTGGTCCAGTGCAAGGTGTCCCTGCTCATGGAACACGGCTGGAACTGGATGGTCTTTAAGATCCCTTCCAACCCAAGCCTTCCTATGATTCTGTGATCACCGCTGCCTACGGGACCCCTGAATTAAGGATGACGAGGTGGGTGGGCGATGCTCACTGGCCCCACAGGAGCCTGGGCTGGGGTGGGACGTACCATGAGCAGCTGCAGCAGCAGCACCAGCAGAAGCAGCAGGCGTTGGGGCGGTGGTTGCTGGCGGGTTGCACCGTTGTCGGAGAAGTCTCATGTCGGGACATCGGAAGGGGTGTCTCTGCGGACGCGGGTCCTGCGTACTGGAAGGCAGGAGGGCAGGGAGCAGGTGAGCGAGCTGTCCACAATCAGCCCCCACCACGTGCAAGCACACAGAGGTTCATGGGGCACCCCTGTGCAGTGACTTGCTCTGATTCAGTTTTGGCCCCTGCTTGCCACCCCGGCCCTGGGTCAGTCACCCTCACCTGCGTCCCAGCCTCATACACGGTGGACGGGGTCGGTTCGTGCTCTGGGGGCTGTTGTGCCGCTCTCCACTCCTCCCAGCCTGCGGGTGAGCCGTGCCCAGACCCCCCGGCTAACGTCCCTGCCGCCTCCTGGATGGAGCCTGTGGGGAGAGGAACCACGTTACTTCAGTGGAACCGCCAGCCTTGAGCGCTCAGGGGCTGCTCCGTGCCAAGGAAAGCCCTGGGCAGGTGGCGAGCTGGGGCAGGGCAGCAGGCAAAGCACAGGAAAAGGAAGGCAGAAGGAAAGTAGAAGAGGAAACACATAGGGAGATGCTTTGCCAGACCCCTGCCCTGCCTGGGATCCCCTCCCACGGTTTGGGGATGCTGTGGGGCCTGCTGCAGGCAGCAGTGGGGCTGGGCAGGGTGTGGGGCTCAGTGCTGGCCTTGCACATCCCTGGCCGTGCCTCGTGCTGTGGGGAAGTGTGGCTGGACCCCCTGGTGCCTTCAGGCACGGGATGGGGAAGTCGGAGCTACTCCACGACATCATGTGAGTGGAAGGAAATGGGGTGGTGGTGGGGAGTTTTCACAGCTCCCAGTGTTAAACCAAACCTTATCCTATGGCCCCTGCCTGCACTGCTTGCTCAGCCTGGAGCAGGGATGCTCCTGGGCAGGAGCAATGCTGGGCACTGGGCTCAGCACCCACCTCTGCGTGGGCAGTGGTGAGGACACGGGCACAGCTGGCTCTGCCTCTCTGTGCCCTGCCAAGGGTGATGGGCAGCAATCAGTCTGTTCCCTGTCAGAAGGAAGGAATGGGAGCAGGGCCAACAGGCAGGCAGACCCCCAGACATCTCAGCCCCAGCATCCCCACTTTGAGCTGCCCCAGGTCTCATCACCTCAAGTCTGAGTCCTGCTGTGGACTCAGCAGGGGAACAGAGCCAGGGTGTGGGTCCCAGCTGGGGACAGAGCTGTCCCCAGAACCCCCACTGAGTCCTGGCAGTGTGGCCCCCCCTGTCCCAGCATGGCCATCACCCAGCAGCATTTTCCCGGGCCCTCACAAACCCTCCCAGTGCTCCTGCAGGAACGAAAAAGGAGAGAGTCTGTGTTTCACTCCAATTGTCCCTATTTATAGCCCCGAGTGCTGGCAGGATGGCTGTGACTTTGTCGCCCAGTTCAGCAGCAGCTCTGCTCCCTCTCACCCTCTGCTGCCCTCAGGTCCATTTAACTCCCCGCTTTTTCCCTTTCCTTTGCTCCCCCTGGCCCAACCCTCTTCCACCCCTGGCACCCTCCTTCCTGCTGCCCTCCCACATTCCACAGCTCACCCCAAGGCACTCGGTGCTGCCGGGGCTGCGGCACCAATGACAGCAACTGGTGTCGAGACTGTGGGAATGGGTTGAGCAGGAGGAAACCTTGAAGGCTGGGAAAACCCTGCTCCTTCCCAGCCCACCCTGGCTCTGCCATGGCCCTTGGGTGTGCAATGGGAGGACTGGGAGTGACTGAGGTACAGGCATGTGAGGCCAGCGTGTGGCTTTGCTCTGGGGGACTCCCAGGTACTTTGCTTCACTCCGTGGCCGGAGCTGACCTGCAAGGGGCTGAGCCAACACACCCTGGAGAGGCAGCAGGACTGGGCACCATCCCTCTGTATGGAGCCTCCCCTCCCCATGCCGAAGGGTGCACTCAGCACCCTGCCAGGAGCAGGATAAGCCCGTCGTGGATGCCGAGGCACACACCCAGGGCCATCTCGACTGCGTGGGCTGTGCCACAGGGAACAGGGAGGAGGGAGCTGTGGGGCTTCAAAGGAACTCTGTCCCATGGCACCAAGAGGCGATGCTGGCACCAGCACATCTGGACTGGCACTAAAGGGCAATGCCAGCACATTCTGACTGGCACTGAAGGGCACTGGCATCACGCTCCAGATTTGCAGGGATGGTTTCCCAGCACCGTCTGTGCCCCCCTCGACACTCACAACACACCCCACCTCACCACGTCGGCGGGGGCCGTGTGCCATGGGACTGTTACCAGCTGCCCTGGTGCCAGCCACCCCCGTGGGGCTGCCAGGGCCAGCAGATAGGGAAGTCCTGGCGGGTGGCAGAGCCTGTGAGTGCCGGAGGGAAGACGAGGGCATGCGCACGAGGCTGCAAAAAGAGGAAGGATGACAAAAAGGCGACTGTTTCCCCACAGAGAGAAGAAGGGACGCCCCAAAAGCCTCCCTCGCTGAGCTCCCTGAGGCCCCCATGAGCCTGGGAGTCCCAGTTTCCCTCGGCTGTGCCAACTCATGCGCCTGGGACATGCCCACGAGTCTGGCACCACACTGTCCTCTCGCCAAATGCAGACGGGACCCCACCACACAATCAGACAAGACGAACCTTCCCCAAAATCGCTGTTAAAGGGAAACCTCCCACATGGCCTTGCCGAGGTGCCAGGACAGCTCTATCCCATTCACCTGCACACAAAGCACGCTGTGCCCTGCTCACCTCAGGCAAAGCAGACGCCAAAGTCACCCTGTGCCAGCTGCAGTGGGAACTGTGGCGTTGTGGTGCCCAGGCAGCCCACACCAAAGTGATGGCAAATACTGGCCCTGAGGATGATACTTCTCCACGCACCCCACATTCCCCCAGCACCCTGGCCAGGGCTGGAGCCCTGAGCAGTGCTTCATCCCCCTCCAGCCACCCCCACCTCTGCAGTGTGGGGCACAAACCAGTGCCCACCTGGGTGCAGGGGCACCCCCAGCACAGCCTGCACTGACCCCCGTGCTGGGAGGGCAGGGCAGTGTGGGGGGACCTGCCGTGCCGTGTCCGTACCTGCAGCCTGGCCATCCCGTGGTGGCGGCGGGTGCCAGCCAGGGTGACCCCGGCCAGCTCAGGGGGCGTGTGGCATTGCCAGGAGCGCCGGATCTGCGGGCAGGGAGGTGGGGGAGAAAAGAAGAGAGAAAGAGAAAAGAAAAGCGGCCGAACACATCCTCTCACAGGAAAGGGAGTGGTAAGGGAAGTGGCAAACTCAACTGTAGAGTTCAGGCCTTTTTTGGGAAAGCCCCGGCCCAGCCCGGCTGCTCTCCTTGCTGCTCCATCACAGGCCACCAGTCCTGACAGGGCAGGAGTGGGTCCCACCAGTGGCTGAGCCAGCTCAGCCTCTTGCTGCTAGGTCAGCCTCCTGCTTCCCAGCCCTTGGATGGATCCGGCAGCTACCACAGGCACGAGGGCTTCCCAGCCAGGACTGGCACTGACAGCGGCATCTCAGAGATAACCCTGGCATGCTGGTGCTGGAACAACCCCATGACCAAGGAAGCAGCTCTGCCAAGGAGAGACTGGCAAGGATATGTCCCCAGGGTGGACATGGGCTGGTTCTTGGTGACCAGCCGAGGCTACTTCAAAGCAACAGTGCTTCCCACCGGTGTCCCCGGTGCCTATGGCACTGCCCGTGGGGTGCAGACACCGGCAGCGAGGTGGGCATTGAGGCAAAGGGCTGTGCCTGAGGGTGGGCTGAGTCAGAGTGGCCGGCAGTGTCTCCCGGCAGCCTCGTCCGTGTGAGGTGGGATGTGCCAGCCTGCCGCACAGAGTGCAGCCCCGCTCCCTCCGCCAAGAGTGACTCACAAACAAAGTTGTTTGGTTTTTTTCCTCTTCAGGAAAAAAAAAAAAAAAAGAAACAGAAGAGAGAGAAATCAGATGCCCAACCTCTGTTTTCTTGATTAAATTCACCCTCGGCATTGCTGTGGGCGGAGGACGCTCCAGTCCCAGCACACACCAGCGATCAACACCCCTTGTGGTCTCTGCTGGCGGCTGCCCCTCACTCCCACGGTCTCACCACAGGTGGAAAAGGGGAGAAAACGAGAGAAAGAGGAAGGGGGACGATGGCACCTCCCCCACACTCCCCTGGGGCTGTGGCATGTGCCCACTATCAGCTCGCCCCAGTGCTCTGTTAGGCTCAGCCGCTTGCCTCCCTTGCCTTCCCAGGGACTCGGGCTGTTATCTCCTCTCTTTCTAAGTCTGCAACCACTGGCACCCAAAACCCAAGGCACCTGTGCTGCCGTTGTCCCCATCTGGACGTTTCCATCCCATCTAGACGGAAACGTCCAGATGGGGACAACGGCAGCATCTGGATAGAAACGTCCTCATCACCCCAAAGTCACCCTCTGCTTCAGCAGCTCCTTCCTCTGCCATCACCTCTCAGCCCTTGCTGCTGCCCACCTGGTGCTCACCTGGTGCTCAGCTGGGCTTTGCTTCTCAGGGCACCTGAACCTCATTTATTTCCCGGATGGTTTTCCAGGAATCTGTTTGCTGCTGCCAGGCAGGGCCAGCTCTGAGAGCTGGGGGCTGCCAGAATGCAGCCACGCTCCCATGAGGAAGCCTCTGGCACCCCAAGCTCACTGGCACCAAGGGTAGTTTTGTACCTTTTGTTCTTTGGCTGCCTCTGGCCATTCCTCACCCCAGGAATATCCCTTCATATTTTATGGGTCAAAACTGGGATGGCAGCTTTGCTGCTCATCACAGACCCCCACAGAGATCATTTGGGTGGGGGTGATGTACACACCCCCAATGCTAGCAGAGACACCATCCCTGGCCAAGTCCCTGTCACAGGCCAGTGATGCCTCAGTGGGAAGCAATGCCGGATCCAGCCCCTCTCCATGCCTGGGAGGAGCTGCAAACACCCATCACCTGTGAGACCAGCCACGCTGGATCAGCGCGAGGAGAGCTTGGCCTCCCCAGCCGCCCGCGCGCCGCTGGATTCTCCAGTGTCTAATAAGGGCTCAGCCCAGCCTGCAGCTTCCCCACCCCCTCCCTGGCATTCTCCCAGGAGGTCCCAGCACCTCTGATCTCTGCCAAATTTGGCTGAAACCAGCCACCGAGTAACAATCAGAGGCGAGGCAGCCCAGCAGGCAGTCAGGGTGGGTGACAGGGGGCTGGCACCTCCCAGGACCTTTCAGCCGGGGTTACCCTCGGGGTAACCACTGAGACACCGCTGCTGAGCCCCACAGCTGCCTCCCGCCCCCACAGCCTGTCCCAGCCACCTGCCAGCAGCACAGGAAGTTTTAGGAGTTATTTTTAGACCTCGTTTTCAACCCCCCCTTTAGCAATCTACTCGAAAAAAGATTAAAGAGGTTGAGGGCTTGAGCCCCCTGGCTCTGCGGGATGGGGCTGGGCTGACCCCAATACTACCAGCGTGGAAG